CTTTGCTTTATCTCCAGTGCCTCGTGCACTTCCCAGCACATGGTACAAACTTGGTAAATATTTCTGAATGAATGACTAAATCGAGCATATTATTAAAATATCGAAAGTAAAAACCACTGAAGTGTTTGCTTCTCATTAAATATTAACATTCTATACATGTAAGAGAGCTTGGTTTTACAGCATTTATTTTCCTGTTTTCTTACTTTTAATCCATTCATCTTTCTGACTTTCAGGAATGCTTACTTTTTTCAGTTTACAAGCCAAAATCAGCTTCTTTGACATATATAAACTCCAGGCTGCTTTCTGACAGGGTCCTAATAATTCCTCCTATGATATCATAATTCCTCAAAAACTCAGGTTTAAAACCAAGAATTCAGGAAATACTGCTTTTCTAAGATGCAGGGCATCTGGAGGCAAAAGCAAGTGTTCTAAAGTGGTTGACATATTGGGGTGGTGGGAGCAAATCAAATAACCACTGTGTATGGCAAATATTTTGTTTCTGGTCTCTAAAGGTGAAAACTAAGTAAGTTAATAGCCTCTCTGAACCTTAAAATCACACAATTAATAAGCAGCAAAACCAAGACTCCAATCAAAGTCTTCTGACATCAACCAGAGGAACCATGGAGAATTACTTCAGTTTTTAACATTTGCACCCAGAAATAATTGATGTCACTTCTGTTCATATTGTACTGGCCAAGTCAAATCACATGGTCTTGCCTGACTTTAAGGAGACAGAAGGACAATCACTCTATGCTCCTAGGAGGAGGACAGAAATACTAGTGAGCAGCATGAATGTCTTCCTCCAGGCTCAGTCATAGAAGACCTTGAAGAGAACACCATAAGCCAATGTACCGCCAGGGAAGGTTTTGCTGTTGTGCATTGAGTAGCATTATCAAAAATTGAGGTTCTATTAAGACCTCAAGATGAGGGATCTGTGATTCCATGGGGTCTGACTTCAGCCTAGAAATATTAGTGGTGTTCAAGCCTAGGAGCACATAGGCCTGTGTCCTGGCATTGCATTTAAAGTAAGAGACACTTCAGAATCATTTTATGATGTAAATTAAGATTAGCATATGTCTATTTGCTCAACTCTGCAGGTGGGAAGTTTCTAATCACATTCCCGCCTCCAGGCAGTGACTAGGGCCCCACACCTTCAGCCCTACCAAAACATCTTTCGAGCTGCTGAAAGGTTTACTTGCTGACTTTGCAAAAGCCCCTCTTAAATTCTTCCTTTCTTAGAAAGTGGTTCTGGCGGGTGCTGAACAGTTCACACCAGATGGGATGCATTTACACAGAACCAGAACCAAAGAACACGCATCGATTTGTGCATGGCCACAGGCTGAACAGAAAATATCATCTGAAGCTCTACCTTTCACCCTGGTCAGATGTGGCAACGCTGTGTGTGCATGTTTTTTGTGAAAAAATTTTCCCGATTGAGAAAACATTTAAAACAAATATACAGTTATAGTTTTTCTGTCACTGTATATGCTATTCCCTTCACATGCTCATGATTTTGAATCAAAGCCAAAAAGATGTTCTCTAGTCTTGTGCATCTTTGAAAGTTAAAGCTTGGATCTGTCCATTCCCTATTTAATTTATGAGAGAAACGTATTCTGACTACAACCACATGCCAGTTACATTCTTTTTCCAGGACTTTTCTCTGTGGAGTTGGAAAGTTCACCTTCAAGTTAGAAGGATAGTATGCTGCAGGTTGGGTTCCTTGGAAAGTGGGCTTTGAGATGGAAATTAGAATGTAGGGTACTTCATAGGTCATTCTTTTACATTCTATATCTGTGGAGAGAAAGGAAGGACAAAGGACGGGGCAGAGGGAAACCAGGCTGCAGCAAAGGCTTCCACAGCAGCTTCAGCTAACCCCACCAGGAGTTCTGGAGCTGGAAAGGCCTGTCAGCTTTATCCACTTTTCAGCTAAAGTTGTGGGCTTTATGCATTAAGCTGTCATTGGATGCAGGTTGCCCCAGAAAGGGGGCATGGCCTTGGGTAAGGCAACTCCCTCCAGCCCAGGGCAATTTCCAGAGAAGGCCAGAAGCATTTTCAGGAATTGGAATGTCATTTATTCCTGAAAAGGAATCTGGCTGGCACATTACAGCATCCATTATATATCTTATATTCATAACTGGAGTTCAAGCTATGCAGTATGATGTCATGGGAATAGCCTATTGGACCAAATGGACACGAGACCAAGATTGTCCTTCAAACGCTAGGAAAGCAACCAATACTGAGCAACCCAGGCAATCAGAGGGGCTCACATCCAATACAGATCAAGCCTTCAGCCAAGTTCTTGACATTTCTCATCCTGCCCTAAACTTCCTAACACACAGTCCATGTCCACCTTCCAGGCTGCACTAGCTGGTAAGTGGAAGCTGGGAATAGACTTGTGTCACCCCAACACTTACTTCTGATTTCATTCCTGAGAGGCCGATCTCAACTAATGAAGAGCCCACTGCTATAGACTATCCCATGCCTCTAAGTCAGACCAACTCACCCACAGCACTGACAGGGAGAATAACGGCTACTCCAACCCTTATATTTTTCTCAGAACCTTATTCGTATTCCCAGATACAAGCATTTGCCAGGCTCAGGGATTTCTTTCATCTTGCTGGCTCTGGGAAGAGGTGAAGGAATGTGACTTCCCCAGCTGAGGTCCTTACCCTCTGTGCTTCCAGTTCTCAACACACTCTATCTCTTGCACTTACCAATGTTTCAAGTAACCCCTGGGTATGCGCTAGGACGGGCCTGGTGTTGCGAGTTGAATTATGTTCCCGAAAATGGCATATTGAAATTCCAACCCTCAGTACCTCAGAATGTGACCTTATTTGGAAATAGGCTTTTTACAGAGAGAATCAAGTTAAAAGGAGGTCATTAGAGGAAGCCTCTACCACCAGTCCAATATGACTGGTATCCTTATGAAAAGGGGAAATTTGGATACATGAACACATACAGAGAGAGGACAGCATGTCACATGAAGGCAAAGATCAGGGTGACACATCTACGAGCCAAGAAACCCCAAGGTTGCTAGCAAACCATCAGAAGTAAGGGAGAGCCATGAAACAGAGTCTTCCTCAAGGGCCTCAGAAGGAATCAACTCTGCTAACACCCTGATAACGAACTTCTGGCCTCCAGAACCGTATGACAATAAATGACTGTTGTTTTAAGCCACCCAGTTTGTGGTTCTTTATTAGAACAACCCTAAAACACAGATACACCTGGGAAGTTTGTCTATTTATGGCTTGCATCCTGGTCATCATGCTAGAAAGGGCTACCACCAGCCCCCTGGAAACAAGTCAACAAGGTCACAGGGCCGTCAAGTGAAAGAAGTGACAACAGTACATTAGAAGCTAGGCCATCTGCAGATCCAAACCATCATGAGGTATCACCTCAATCACCTCACACCCATTAGGATGGCCAATACTCTTTGCCAAATAAATAAAATAGAAAATAACAGAAGGTGGCAAGGATGTGGAGAAATAAGAATTCTTTTGCATTGCTGGTGAGAATAGAAAATGCTTTGGAAAACAATACAGAGATTCCTCAAAAAAACTAAAAATAGAACTACCATATGATCCAGCAATTCTACTTCTGGGTATATACCCAAGAGAATTGAAAGCAGCATCTCCCAGAGATATTTGCACATCCATGTTCATTAAAACATTATTCACAAATAGCCAAAATGTGGCAGCAACCCAAATGTTCATCAGCAGGTGGATAAATAAAATGTAGAAAATACATATATAATTGAATATTACTTATCCTTAAAAACGAAAGAAATTCTGACATGTTACAACACAGGTGAACTTTAAGGATAGGATGCTTAGGAAAATAAGCCAATCACAAAGAGATTAATACTGTGTGGTTTCACTTATATGGGATATCTAGGGTAGTCAAAATCATAACTATCATACAAAGTAGAATGATAGTTACCAGTGGGTGGGGGAGATGGGAATAGGAGTTGTCGATGGGTAAAGAGTTTGAGTTTTGCAAGATGGAAAGTTCTAGAAATCTGTTATACAATGATGTGAATAGAGTTAGCACTACTAAACTGTAGGCCTAAAACTTGATAGAAGGTTTAACTTATTATGTGGGTTTTATTTTCATCACAATATAAAAGGGAGACAAAGAAGAAGGAGAGGGAGAGGGAGAAGGAGAAGCAGCCTCAGCTAGGTCATCTGGCTCCCTACCTAGCACTCCATGTTTCTTGGTATATCACCTCTCAAAGCCTGCATATCAGTCATTTGCAGGAGGACAAAGGACAGACTGGTCAGTTAACAAAAGAACTGCCCGTCCAGTAGTTCAAGAAAGGGGCATTTGTTGAGAGTCTACTGGGGCCTCAGAGACTTATCCTACAAGACCTTATCAGCAATCCAGTGGAACAAGTCTTATTTCTCCACCTCCTAGATAAAAAACTGAAGCTCAGGGGGGTTAAGGGGACTGTTTTGAGTCATGTGGCTGCTGGGAGGCCAAGCTTGGATCTCCTTCCACCACCGCAGTTGCCTGTTTGATGATTACTTAAACTTTGTGAAATAATTTAGCTTGACAGAATGCTTAAGAGCTTTTCAAAGAAGTAACTGGAACTCACTCTGCCACACGTACTTGTGTATTTCTCTGTTTTTCTTTTCTTTTCTTTCTCTTTTCATGGAAGGAAAAACCGATCATCTTGTGAAAAATATTTTCCTTAGAGATCACTTAAGGTATTTGGCAATTTGGATTGCCAAATATCACAAGAGAGACTAAGAAGTAAGACGTGGGACTGAGGGCAAAAAGAAAACATTCAACAACTCTAAAAGGCTAGGGAAATGTTTCAGGCTCGCTTCCCTTGTCACTGCCCCAGATGTCCACACTGCCTTTTGAGTTGGCAAACCCTTGGGAGGCTGAGTCAGGGTGGCCGGGGCCACCTCTTGCCAATCCTGGGAACCCTCTAGAATCCTGTTGACTGAAAAACCAACTGCTCCCACCCCCCCACCCCCAAGTCTTGGTGTGTTCAAATTTCTTTTCCCATGCCAAACTCTGATTTCCTGTTTCTAAGAAGAAAAGCTTTAAAATGCCCCTTAAAACAAAAAAAGACTCCTTAAGGCAGCTTAAACATCAAAGGACTCTTAGAAAGTAGGGTTTTATTTGGTTAAGTACACGTAAATCAGAAAAATTTCAATTAATTTTTCCCTTTAGGTGCTAAGGATTCTTTCTGGACTTGGGCAAAAGATTTGTGGACTAACCATACCGATTCTTGGGGGTTGTAGGGAGTGTTCATCTGGTCCAATCTGCTTACTGCAGTGATCAGTGACCTACCTAAGGTCTCACAGCAAGAAAGTGTCAGAAAACACCCAAGCCCAGGCTTTTAATGACTAGTCTGATGTGGTTTCCATGCATCATGCAACTTTGAAAAAAAGTGACAAGATTTTTTTCAAAATCAAAGGTTAAAGTTCAAAACAGACAGAAGGAAGCTAGTAAGTGAATGATTATTTAAGCTATGAGTTTGAAACGCGTAACTGGGACTACTAACCTTTCCTGAGCACTTAGCATGCACATGTGTTGTTCATTTAATTGCCTCAATTCTATGAAGTAGTTACTATATTCTTTTCATTTTACAAAGGAAAAGGGAGAGTGAGGGAAGATGAGGATTCAAATTCTTGGTTTAAGCTTTTACTCTATTTTTTGAGTGGCCAGAACATGGCAGGCTTTTTCTGAAACCTGGTATCAACTAATCTTCAAAACAACGCAGAGACATTGATATTATTGTCGCCACTGCACAAATAAGAAAATCAGATCTTAAGGAAATCAATGTGCCCAAGTGGTCACCACCAGGAAGTAGCACAGTGGGGATCAGAAACTAAATCTGGTCCTCCGACCCCATTTTCTTTCTGTTACCCACTTCACAGAGTTGTTGTGAGGGTCAAAGCAGATCACGTAAGTGAAAGCCTTCTGTAAAAACTGTAAAGAAGTTAACAGCTTTGAGGGATTATCATGCTTAAATCTAAGTTGTTCTTTTTTCCTAAATTTCCACTCTGGCTTATAACAACAGGATCTAAGAGCCAGGCATGACAAGGGGCCCAGGTCTCTCAGCTGAAAAACATTTTCCAAATAAAAGATTTGATTGAGCACATGCTTGTTTTCCTTGGGTGGGTCCCAACCACCCAAATGTTTAATTGGGTTGGAAAGTTTTGATCCTGATGGCCATTGTTGGAGGCAAATGAGAAACGTGGAGCCTTGCTCTCTGACCCTGAAGGAAAGAAGAAAGCCCAAATAAAACAGAGCTGTAATCCTGCTAGCAGTTATGCCAGCCAAATAGCAGCATTGTTAGACCAAATGCTGCTTCATTCATTGGTTTCTTTGTTTATTTGGGGCTATCTTATGAGCATCTTCTGCAAACCACACTCTGCTTTAGGCACGAGGAATACAGAGAGGAATGAGCCACAGTTGTTCTCTTGAGGAACTCACAGTCCTGAGGACTTCTGCAAACATCCCCAAGAACCTTCCCTTACCCTTCGTGGTCATATTCTAGCCTTCCCTCTTCTCTGCCCTACACAATGTATGCCAATATTATGACTGAATAGTGTTCTTCCATAATTCGTATGTTGAATACCTAACCACCAGGATCTCAGAATGTGATTATATTTGGAGATAGATTCTTTAAAGAGGCAACTAAGGGTGCCGGGCACAGTGGCTCAGGCCTAATCCCAGCACTTTGAGAGGCCAAGGCAGGCAGATCACCTGAGGTTGGGAGTTTGAGACAAGCCTGACCAACATGTAGAAATCCCATCTCTACTAAAAATACAAAATTGGCTGGGTGTGGTGGTGCATGTCGGTAATCCCAGCTACTTGGGAGGCTGAGGCAGGAGAATTGCTTGAACCCAGTAGGCAGAGGTTGCAGTGAGCAGAGATCACCCCATTGTACTCCAGCCTGGACAAGAGCGAAACTCCAACTCAAAAAAAAAAAAGTAATTAAGGTAAATGAGGTCATTAAATGGGTTTTAATCCCATCTGTCTGGTGATTTTATAAGTGGAGATTAAGACCCAGACACTCACAGTTGGAAGACTCTGTGAAGACACAGGGAGAAGACAGCCATCTACAAGCCAATAAGAGAGACTCCCAAAGAAACCACCTCGCCAACACCTTGCTCTCAGACTTCCAGACTCCAGAATTATGAGAAAATAAATTTCCATTGTTGAAGCCACCCAGTCTGTGGTTCTTTATTACAGCAACCCTAGCAAACTAATATGACCAGCCAAAGCATTGAGTCTGATCTGCATAGTATGAGAGTTATGTCTGTGTCCATTGAATGAAAGGAGGAATGAATAAAACTATCATGGACTAACCCTCAAGGCATTTGCAGTCTTAAGGAACACTAGTATTTTTTCTTATGTTATGTTATATGCTGGAGGCACTGAGATGAAAGCTGTGGACCTTCTTCATGGAGTGCGTATGCTACCAGGGAAACCAAGCTTACAAGTATTTCATGCATAATAATTGTCTAAGTACTATGATAGAGGAATGCAACCCTGGGAACCTAGAAGAATCTTCTAACCTAACAAGGAGAAGAAACCACCAAGTTGTCATTAAGTACAAACAGCCATTTCCTAGAAGGTGGTGGAGAAAAACCATTCCAGGTATGCACCCAAGCCCAGAGGTACCCAGGCCAACCACAGCAAGTCAGTGAAAGAGAAGGAACACAGAGAGAGAAAAGTCTGGAGAGAGGCAGAGCCTAGGTCATGGAGGCAGGGACCAAAAGAGGCAAAGGCCAGGTCATGGAGATCCCACAGCAGAGTGAAGACACTTGGGTTACAGTCTGAAGATATTGTGGACACTGAAGGGTTTCTTTTTTTTTTTTTTTAAAGGAGAGAAGGAAAGAAAAAAAAGGAGTGAAGGAGAGGAAGAAAGAGGAAGAAAAAGAGAGAGAGAATGGAAATGTTGCTTTATTCTAAAAATGGGTATTAATAATGGCTGATCAATATTTTATTTAAACCTATGAGTAGGTGTGATGTGGTATTGACAAGAATGTGTATTTTGTATATTTAAAGTAGAGAGCTCTATAAATATTTATTAAGTTTACTTGTTCCAGATCTGACTTCAAGTCCTGGATATCCTTATTAATTTTCTGTCTTGTTGATTCTAAATCTCTTTATAGGTCTTATGTATCTGGGTGTTAGGATCCTTAGCTCTTATTGTTGCATCGATCCTTTTACCACTATATCTTTGTTGCTTTAAAATCTATTTTATCAGATGCGAGAATTGCAACTCCTGCTTTTTATTTCTTTCTTTCTTTCTTTTTGCTCTCCATTTAGTTGGTAAATCTTTCTCCATCCCTTTGTTTTGAGTCTTTGTGTATCTTTGCATGTGAAATGGGTCTGGATGTAGCATACTGTTAAGTTTTGGCTGTATCTTTTGATTGGGGAATTTAGTCGATTTAAATTTAGGGTTACTGCCATTTGATGTTAACTGGCTGTTTTATCCATTCATTGATGTAAATTCTTCTTTATGTTGATGCTCTTTACTTTTTGGTATATTTTTAGAAAGGCTAATACTGGTTGTTTCTTTCTATGTGTAATGCTTCTTTCAGAATCTCTTGTAAAGCAGTCCTGGTGGTAATAAAATCTCTGAGTACTTGCTTGTTCATAAAAGATTTTATTTTTCCTTCAGTTGTGAAGCTTAGTTTGGCTGGATATGAAACTCTGGGCTGAAAGTTCTGTTCTTTAAGGACGTTGAATATTGGCCCCACTCTCTTCTGGCTTGTAGAGTTTCTGCTGAGAGATCTGCTATAAGTCTGATAGGCTTCCCTTTGTGGGTAACCTGACCTTTCTCTCTCGCTGCCCTTAGTATTTTCTCCTTCATTTCAACCCTGGTGAATCTAACGATTATGTGCCTTGGGGTTGCTCTTCTTGAAGAATATCTTTGTGGTGTTCTCTGTATTACCTGGGGTTGAATACTGTCCTGCTTTGCCAGGTTGGGGAAGTTTTCCTGAATAATATCCTGAAGAGTATTTTCCAGCTTGGATTCATTCTCTCAGTCGCATTCAGGTACACCTATCAAACGTAAGTTAGGTCTTTTCACATAGTCCCATATTTCTTGGAGACTTTGCTCATTCCTTTTTATCCTTTTTTCTCTATTCTTGTCTTGTTTTATTTCATTAAATTGGTCTTCCAGCTCTGATATCCTTTCTTCTGCTTGAACAATTCGAGTGTTTAAACCTGTGCATACTTCTTGGAGTTCCCATATTGTATTCTTCAGTTCCATTAATTCGCTTATATTCCTCTCTAAATTATCTATTCTCATTAGGATTTCATCAAACCTGTTTTTCAAAGTTCTTAGTTTCTTTACATTGGGCTACAACATGTTCTTTTAACTCACAGAAGTTTCTTATTATCCACCTTCTGAAGCCTGATTCTGTTAATGGAATGCACTCATTCTCTATCAAGCCTTGTTCCCTTGTTGATGAGGAACTGTGATCCTCTTTAGAGAGGCATTCTGATTTTGAGTATTCTCAGCCTTTTTACGCTGGTTTCTTCCCATTATTGTAAATTTATTCACCTGTCATCTTTGTAATTACCAACTTTCAAATCAGGTCTCTGAGTGGACATCCAAGTTGTTAATTCCCAGGGCCGAAATCTGAGCAACCCACTGCGCCGGCCAAAATAGCGGTGTTAAGACTGATGGTGCTTTTCTGCCCAGGAATCTCCAGTCTGGCTTCCTTCTTGAGTCCGTAATAGGCGACTCTGCCTTCCTGGAGCTCCAAACGTAGGTCAGAAGGGGAACCAGTCCTGTTTACTCTGCACCAAGAGCTGCTGCACCAAGGTGCCGGCAAAACCACTGCGCCAGCCACAAGAGTCGTGCTGGCGATCCCTGGGGCTCCTCCACTGGGAATATTCTGGTCCGTGAGCGACAAAAATTTGTCTGAAAGTGTGGCATCCTCTCATTCTCTGTGCTTTCACTGGGAGCTGCAATCCCAAGATCTTAATAATCAGCCATCTTGGATCGGACGCTGAAGGGTTTCAAGCAGGATCCTGCTCATATTTTATCATTGTATCCTCTCTTACACATGACCTTTCACAGACCAGGCACCTGAGGAGTGTTTGCTAATTTGAGGTGAAGGGACCCACCTGCTGAGAATAAATAGCCACATTTCTTTCTCCTCTTTTATACCTAGCTGAACCCTATCCTTCCTCTCCTTCTGTAGTAAAATCTACCTAGATAGCTTGGACTTATGGTAAACTTTCTCTCTGAGTTCTGATATCACTTATTACTGGTCATACCTATGCTATTTATAAGGAGACCCTGTAGGCCAATAGAAAATCTTGAAGTGAGGCTGCATGCTAGTTCTAACAAGGTCTGGGACCTTGGGACAAGTCACTTAAATTCTCTAAGCCTCGATTTCCTCATCTTTAAAGTGAAGACAAAAATACCCACCAATATTCATTCTCCTTTTCTTCCCTTTTATAACAGAATCCCTATCACCATTTGGGTGCACATGGCCACCAGCTAGAGGCTACATTTTCCAGCTTTGCTTGAAGCTAGATGTGGTCATGAGACTAAGTTCAGACCAGGGTAACACAATGTCAAAGTGATGTATGCGACTTTCAGGTCACTCCCAAAGATAGGCTTGGCTACTTGTTAATTTCCTTGCCTAATTATTTCTGCAGGCTGGGAAATAGAAACAACTGGAGTGGTTTCAAAAAGACACAATGCAGACAACAGACTGACCTACTATCCTGGGTTCCTAGCTGCCCTAAAAGGACAAGAGTCCTGCTCTCCCTGAACAATTGCCTCTGGACTATTAGAGAAGAGAAGAATAAACACCTGCTTAATTTAGGCCGCTGAATACCTGGGTCCCTGTATTACCCCAGCTTCACTTGTACCCTAAGCAATATACAGGCTTACAACTTTGAAGATTGTGAACCAATGCACTAAATCCTCAATGTCATCGATGGGTTCTTAGAAGCTATGCCTTTAAGCAAAAGCAGTGCACAGCCAGTCCTTGAATAATGTCTCACATTCATCTTTCTTTCCTTACAAGCTTGATAAGAAAAATAATTCATTTTGTTATACTTTGTTTCACAGTCACAGTTTCTAAGAAACTATGAATGACATTAAGTGAGGACTTACTATAAAATTAAAGCCACCTGACACATAGTGGGTCTATAATAAGTCAATACCTGATATGGTTTGGCTGTGTTCCCACCCAAACCTCATCTTGAATTGTAGCTCCTATAATCCCCACATATTGTGGGAGGGACCTGGTGGGACGTTATTAAATCATGGGGATGGGTTTTTCCCCATGCTATTCTCATGATAGTGAATAAGTCTCAAGAGATCTGATGGTTTTATAAAAGGCAAGACAGGTGACCTTTGCTCCCCTGCATATGCTCTCTTGCCTGCTGCCATGTAAGACATGCCTTTGCTCCTCCTTCACTTCTGCCTGGATGTCAGGCCTCCCTAGTCATGTGGAACTGTGAGTAGATTAAACTTCTTTTTCTTTATAAATTATCCAGTCTCAGATAATTCTTCACAGCAGTATGAAAATGGACTAATACAATACCAATAGCTATCATTAGAATGAACTGATAGAATGTGGTAACTCACTAGATGCGATGGCAAAAGAAAAGGAAAAGCTAATCAGACTCTGAGATTTCCAACTTGGCTGTCAGGGAGAATCGTGGGACCCCCTGACAGAAATGTGGAGAGGAGAGAGGAAGACAATTTGGGGAAAGAAAATAAAGGCATGCTCTAGCCATGTTGAGTTTGAGTTTCTGGCAGGGCTCACAGAAAGAGATGCTAATAGGCAGTTTGAAATTAGAGCTGTAGCTGAGGTCTGGAAACAAAGAATAGGGTGGGGTCAGGGAGTTGAAGCTGTGGAAATAAGGAGGTTTCTAAGGGAGAAAGCTGCAGATACAGATATTGGAAGGATAATGAGGAGACATGTCTGGCTGGAGCAAAGGTTTCTTAGCGTGCAAGAGGGAGGGAGCACTGGTAAGGGGTTGGGCCCGGTGTGGCAGAAGTGCCAAGAACACTGTGGAGGATCTCAGACCTCACCTCAATCTACAGGCAAAGGGGGCCATGGTGACTTTGAATGGGGAGGGGGTGGTGAAGACGCTACCTGTTGTGCCAGAGCACCAGGTAGTGTCAGTGAGGCAGAAACCCAGTCATGGAGGCAGGGACCACTGGAGGCAAGGGCCAGGTCATGGAGGGCCCAAGGCAGGGTGAATAAAATCATTATTTGCAACGATAAAATTATTAAAATGATATCATTGAGATTATTATTAAAATGACAAAATCTGTGGCCCCCACTGATGAGGCCAGAGGAATGCTCTTCCTCTACAAGACAAGCAGCCACCACTTACAGCCATTTCACTGCAATCTTAACAAGCACATGTAAAGCACAGCAAACAACCTCAATAAACATGCTGCATCTAGGTGGTGGGTTATGGGATTAGAAGATTTTTTAATATAAAAACTAAGATGAAAGTACATTTTTTAAAAAAGGTCTCAGTGTGTGCTATAAACTTGGGACCTCAAAGCACTTTCAGCCTAAATATTTTGGAGAGATTCTTAAGGAAACGACAAAACCAAAGAATTAGCCAGAGTGACTCCATGGAATGGAAAGTCGTATCTTGAAGGAGGAGGCAAGACAGGTGACCTTTGCTCACCTTTTCCATTCTTCAGTCAACCAATATGTATTGAAGGTCCCCCTCACTCTGCCACTTGCAGGGGCTGTCATTCACACCACATGGAGGGCCAGACAAGAGGCAAATTGACGTGTCAGGAGCTGTTGAGTGCTGGGGTGAAAAATAAAACTGGGTGAGGGATGAAAGGAAGACACAGCCACCCCACTTCAGGAAAGTTCCCTCCAAGGTGACCTTAGAGGCCCAGACAGAGGGTAGTGAGGGTACCATGCAGCTCTCAGGGATGGAATGTTCCAGGCAAAAAGAACAAACAGCAAAGTCAAAGGCCCTCCCATGAGTGGGAGAGGACATGGCATGTTGTCGAATGCCAGAAGAGGTCAAGGCTGGCATTAGGGTGGGGCAAGTGAAGAGCCTCGGGTGAAAATTTAAGGAGGCCTTCTCCTCAAGGTCCTGCAATCAATGAGACAGATGGGTTCCTTTCTTGCTTCACTTCAGTCCAAGCCCTGCTGGCAGGAACTGTGTCTGAGAGAGAGAGAGTGGCAGCCGGGCTCAGTGACCACTGGACTCAAACAACGGGAGCAGCAGGAAGCCCAGGGCCACAGACGGCTCACTGCTCTGTCTCCCTAAGAAACTCAGTGTGAAAGTCCAAGAAATCCTATATGCCTGGAGGAGTTATCCTTAGAGAGGAGGGTCTGGACCCACTTCTTAGTTCACTGAAGGATCGTCACTAAGAAGCAGGAAACAAGTTGTCTCCCAACACGGCAAGGCACCTCAGTTATACATCCTCCCTACTCTGGACCCAGATTTCCTTGACTGTACCACGGAAGGATTTGAGTCAATGAACTCAAAGTCCTCCCACCAGTAGCCAGGTCCAAAATTTTATGATTCTGTGAGCTCACAACAAACCTTGTTTTCAAAAGGAGCCTGAGGGCTGCAGAGAAGGAAAAGGAAAGGAAGAGGCTCACAGACCTTCCCATCAAAGGCTCAAAGAAGACAAACCTTTCGCTCTTCCTCCCCATGCATTTCTAAGACACTCAGAGCTAATTTCAAGAAAACTGCTGGCCCAAGTTTAGCCAAATTCAGGAATCAATCTCCTTTCATGGGAAGAAAGAGTCTTGCTAAGCTTGTGATGACCCAGGTGTCACCAACAGGCTCAAAATCCACCATTCTGGTGTTTACATGGTAAGGCCTCCACTGACCAGAACCACAGCGGATGCCAGTGGAAGTGACCACTTCAAGAATCAGCTCATAAGTAGGAATGTTCTGTTTTGAACGAAGAGGTCTACTTGCAGCCAAGTTTTTCATTCCTGCACCTGTCTAACACAAGTATAACTGGCCCCTTTCCCTTTTTCCCTTAGGCTTTTCACAGGCTAGTTTCATTTCTCCTAAATTTCTAATAACTACCCAGGGTTTAGAGTTTTTGAAGAGTTTCACATTTTGATATCCAACTTCACTTCTGCACCTAGGATCTGAGGCAAGAATTACTGTCATTCCCATTTTACAAATGAGGAAACTGAGACTTTCAGAGAGAAGAGCTTGGAACAATCTCCCAAGTAGGCATCAGACCTGAAAAACTGACAGTGTGGCCCTGTAAAATTGGTGCTACAAAAGCTCATGATAACTGGAAATTGCAAAACATGCCCCTGCTTTTGCATCAGTGAACCAAATCTCACTTCCACGCTTTGTGAATCTCCACCATCTACCCATCATGTCCCAGCTTTCCAGATGGGAGGGACACAGATGCCACATACTCCCTTCACCTTCCCTAACATGCTTGGGCCTCTGTTAGTCTCTCAGCCATGCACTGACTCCTTCCTCCTTCCACTGCCCCTCAGAAAAGTTCCATGTGTATCACTTCTAGCCAAGAGAGCCCTAGAAGGATCACCAAGCCCTTAGTTCCACCATCAGACAGACTCGAGTGGGTTTCGGCTCCACTGGAATGCCCTTCTATATCCTGCCGTATGGAAAACTTTCACAGAGCCTGGGAGAGTCCTCCACCCTCTCTAACGGCTGGAGGGATGGGAACACTTAGATCCAGGACACCAGCGACTCTAACTTTCCATTCTTGACTCACAGTGCCCTGCCCTAGAAGGCCTTTGGGCCCAGATGACCCACAGTTTAGAATGCCAGGATTCAGTAGATGTATTTGCATGGGCAGGATGAGCCAAAGAATGGAAACTCTGGCCCCATCTAGAGGGAACGCCTCTGAGAGATGTTTGCTGAAATGACCTGATAGCAAGAGCTGAGAGGAGGGACAGTGGTCTCCTGAGTCATAAAAGCACAGGACTTCACATGCAGAGCAAAGCCAGAAGAGCCCCCCGCTTGTCAAGAGTAGACCCACCACAAGGGCAAGAAAGCTGAAAAGTTACCTTGATATGTTACTTGTTTTCACTTTGGGTTTTAGTTCCTAGGGATCTGTTCCACAGAGTCATGGAAGAAACAAAGTCTTCTTACAGCCTGCTTCAGGCACATCTAATTAGGAAATATGTGAAAGAATTAACCTCAGGAAAAGCTAGGAACGTCAGAAGGGATTTCAATTTTGCCTGGAAAAATCTCCCTGCCTTGAACTTCATAAGACTCTTTCATTTGCTACTCTTAGCTCTGAGCCATCCCAACAGTCTCCCAAGAGATGCCTTATTATTTTCCTTTTGTAGATGAGAAAACTGAGGTTCCAAGAAGTGAAGTAATTTGCCCAATTCCATGTGATCATAAGTGGCATAGCTGGGATTCTATCCGAAGTCCATCTGAACCTCAGATGTCTAGCCAGAATACCACACGCCTCAAAACAATCAGATGGGGCCCAGCACGGTGGCTCATGCCTGTAATCCTAGCACTTTGGGAGGCTAAGGTGGGTGGATCACTTGAGGTCAGGATTTCCCTGGCCAATATGGTGAAACCCTGTCTCTACTAAAAATACAAAAATTAGCGAGACATGGTGGCGCATGCTTATAATCCCAGCTATTCAGGAGGCTGAGACAGGAGAGTCGCTTGAATCCGAGAGGCAGAGGTTGCAATGAGCCAAGATCTCACCACTGCACTGCAGCCTGGATAATAAAGTGAGACTTTATTTCAAAAAAATTAAATAAATAAGCAAATAAATAAAAACAATCCTGTGAAACAGGTATCAGTTATACCCCAGATTTGAACTGGCTGCACAGAAAGTAAGTTCAAAAGCCAGGAGGCGAAGCCAAGTTCTCAGCACCAGAACCAGAGCTCTTTTCATCACACCACACTGCTCCAGTTGCCCCTCTTATTTCCTGCTGTCACTCCAAGCTGCCAAAACAGCATCTAGTATGTAGTGAGTGCTAAATAAATACCTGATGGATGAACGAGTCCTTCTTTGAAGAGAAGTTTTGTTAGGAAAGTGGGTGATGATATTAATTGGATGAGCTAGTGACTCATTTTGCTCAAGGATTAAATCTGAATTTGAAGAAAAGCAGTTGACTTAGTTGTGAAATATGTCCCTGGGCTCCTCCCCAGTAAGGACAGAACTACTGGAGAAAGAACCCACTGTTCCTCTCTGGAATGAGAATTGTAACCATAAATAAGGCTTTTATGTTTCTCTTCTCTGGGACAATCAGGAAATAAAGATAGTTCTTGACAACATTGCGACATCAGAGGGAACAGGCGTGTAAGGATTCAAACACTACTTTCCCTCTCATTTTCTGTCATTTTGTTAAAGTAAAGCCATTCGCTAATTGTAAACTGTAGGATGAGAAATTGCTATGCTGTCCCATAGGGAAAACTCACTCATATGTCTCTTCCATTCTCTCAATTACTGGAAAGCACGAACACCTAAGTGGCACAAAACGGTGACTGAAAAGGTGCTGCCATGTTCCAGGTACTCTTCCAGGAAGGATTCCATTTACAGAGGAGGAAACTAAAGATCAAAGACATTCTGGAATTAGCTAACTTCCTCCATGATTAGTAAGTTCTATCACTAGGATTTGAATTCAGGATTTCTGGAACACAGAGCCTGTGTTCTTTCCCTACACCATGATTAGAGGCTACTAATGATGGGCATTATCATGAAGGAAAGTGCCCCACAAAGAAGCTTCACTTACTTCACCTCCTACAACTGTGAGGATCAAATCAGATAGAGAGAGTGGAGATAATAATCCCCATTGTACAGATGAGCAAACTGAGGCTTAGTGTTTAAAGTGATACATGTACGTAATATATACCACATCTAATTCTCATTTTATAACTCCTATTTTATAAAGGAGGAAACTGAAGCCCAGAGGCAATCAGGTTACATATATGCATTTACATATGTTAATATTGTGTTCCTACTATATGTAGTTTCTATGCTGACATTTATCTCTCTTCAAACCTCAGTTTTATCCTTGCTTAAATGGCGATGAGTGCTTTGACCAAAAGTGGTCAGCTAGAAAGTATTGCACTTGGAATTCCAAATCTACAACTTTCTGATTTTAAAACTTGTAAAACTTTTTGGTTATAAGGATCTATTTGCCTCTACCTTGATGTTATAAAATATGTGTCTCCTATAAAATACATGACATCTAAATGTAGGACATTTTATTAATGGCTGGGCAGGATAGATGTCCTAGACAAATACTTCCCCACTGACTCTATATAGAAACCCTTCAACTCTGATGTTTATAGGAAAAATTCACTTCTGGAGTCAAAAATATTCATTCTATCAGTTTAGGAAGACCTCATCTGAATAAATTCTGCCTGGCATGTCACTCCTGAAATGGTAGGCGGGGAGAAATTTGAGAATGAACTTCCTCCAAGAGATGGGCAGTCACTTCTGTATGTCAAGTGCTTTAGGAGGGCGTTTAAATTAAAATGTTATCTGTCCTCTAGAGGTACAAGAAAAACTATATTGAAAAAAAATATGTAAGACATAGTCAGAAACACATTGCCAGTCTCTACAGAAAACTTCCTTTCTGGCCAAAGTTGTCGAGCATCAGCTTCAAAGGTCAATAGTATGCCTGAGTGAGCAAGTACACTGCCATCAGGAACAAGGGAGGCATCTACTGAGGGCAAGGAGGCAGGAGACGTGGACACCAAAGAAGGTGGGGTTAGTTGGCTTGACCTTAAGGAGAAGCTGTATTTCAAAACTTTCAGGGCAGCCCAGGCAGAAACTGACGCGAGCAAAGCCTTGAGTCTGGAAACTGAAACTGGAGGCTAGGGCCATGTTGGGAAGGTTATAAATGTCTGGGTCAGAAATTTGTACTTAATCCATCAGACAATGCTGAAAGGTTCAGTAGAAAAAAAATCAGAACTATTTTAGAAAAACCATTCTTTTATTCATTCATCAAATATCTATTGAGCACATTGCCAAGCATTGCATCTTTTTGCTAGCACACATCCATGACTGGCAGGCTTACTGTCCAGTGCACAAACAGGCATTCGTCTGTTATTGCCATTTGCTATCTGAGTGGCCATGGTAGCCACCACCCCCCAATAAAACCACCACAATCCCCACCTCCTAATAGCCATACCTTGTGGAGTCCCCTGCCATGCAGTGCCAGGGTTGCCTGTGTGACCAGTAGAATATGGCAGGGGTGATGCTATAGGACTTCCAAGATTAGGTGATAAAAGACATTGTGGCTAGCATCCCTTCTGGTGGCTCTCTTTCTTCACTGGCTCTGGGGGAAGCCAGCAGCTATGTCATGAGCAGCCCTATGATGAGGCTCATATGAGAGAAGCCAAACTCTCCTGCCAATTGCCCCAACCCCAGCCCTTTGAGTGAGCTTGAGCTTGGAAGTTGACAACCTACTTAATGCCTGCAGCCCCTGCCAAATGCTTGACTGCACCCTCAGCAGAGACACGGAGCCAGGGCCACCCAGCTAAGCCCCTCCCAACCTCCCCACCCTCAGAAATGAATGAACCTACATTGACACATCATCATTCGAAGTCCATCATTTCCATTGTAATATATGCTTGTTCTTTTAAACCACACCATCTTGGGGTAATTTGTTACATAGCAATAGGTACAACGATCTTCCCAGCATGGCTGATGTGAGGATAAAATGAAACAAAAAAGTAGGGATTTGTGCAATTATAGAAAAGAGAGGAAGAGGCAGACTCAGGGGTCAGGTGGGATGAAAGACCCATCTCCATGCTATTGACTTAGGAGGTGAAGAGCAGAAGCTGGAAGTCCCAAGCTTTCCCCAGCACTTCCAGGGTGGGAGCTGACTGGTGCCTTACATAGAACAAAATATCCCCCCAGATGGGATCTTCCCAGCAGGACTGCTGCTTTGCAGTGCTTCACAGAAAGAAACCAAGGTTTACAGAGGTCTCTGCAGTAATTCGATGACAGACACAGAGCAGAAAGGGTAAAAGCAGGGAGAAATTGAGGTGCCTTGGGCCTGGTTCAGGGCAGGGAATGGGTGGCAGAGCTGCAGAGAAGCGTGGAAAAGATGATGAGAAGGAATGGGGAAGATGAGAGCCCAGGAAGGCAGCCTCTCCTCTCTCCCAGGGCAGCCAGTTCCTTGAGCCCCACAGGCTTTCCATGTGTCTCTAATTGAAGGTACAGCTCACTTTTTATCCTTTTAAAGTAAAAACTCAGAGATGCACCCAGGCCATCTGTGTTTATTAGAAGGGGCGGGTTTTCCACCCTCCTGACATCCAGGAAAGGCACTCCATTCTGGAACAAAGTGTGCCTCCCACCAACCCTCCCCTCCTGTTGGCTGCCCAGCCTGGCTCTATGCACCACCATTCCAGAGATGATAAATATGCTTTGTAAAATGCTCTGAAGAAGGGAGACAAAGGTCTCCTGTTGAGTTTTATGAAGTCCTGGAAACACCTGGATATGGTGGGTGTGGTCTGAGCCATTTTTCTAAATGAACTTAATGTCTTCAAAACTATCTGGACCCATCAGTGCTTGTCTGTACTAGAATCAACCCACTACATAAGAAATCTTTGATCAACAAAATAAACATTTTCTTAAAAATCAGTTGCTAAATTATTGCCTCATTTCCTAATTGTTTTTGCTTTTCATTGTTATTAGAGTATGAAATCTGTTGCTTAGGCATCTAATAAAAAAACAAATAAACCTAAGCATTTATGTTTTATAAAAATAAAGCTTACTTCATTTATCAATATTATTTTTCTATCTGGAATCAATAATTTTATTGATAATAACCATACTCCACAGATATGTGCTGGTATATTTTTTGCAATTTACAAAATAATTCTTAACCTTCACACCACCTATGCACAGCAACAGGGTAAGGACCATCATCCCCATGTCTGCAGAGTATGGGGCTGGGTGCAAAGCGGCAGGATGGTACATGCGGATAGGTGTGGGTTTGGAATCAGATGAGCTCTTCCACACAGTGGCCTGGGCAAGTTTCCTGTGCTCTTTCAGCCTCAGTCTCTTCATCTGTACAACAGAGATGAATAACACAACCTAAAGAGAAAGGTTGTTCTTTTTACAGTTCTTCTCATGGTCCTTAGAACATAATTACTCAACCAACACATAATATTTGTGTATGTGGTGTTGCTCTTGTTGTGGCTGTTATTTTAATCTACTCTGTAAGTCTGTGAGGATTAGTCAATATTGGTAAAAATGCTGAACACAGTGCCCAAACCATAGAAAGTGTTAATTTTGAAGTGGGAAGGCTGAGATTATAAATCATGTGTTTCTAATTTCTTAACATTCTGCATCCCAGTTACCTGGGCATGGGATGACTAAAACACACCTCTTAGCTTTGAGAATGAATAGATTAAAATTTTATTATTTAAAAAAAAAGGATGGGAGGAAGGGAGGGAGAGAAAAAGAAGCAGAGAAAGAGAGAAAAAACCATTTTACCATCTGCCCTCATGCCTGACTATACCCATGTTTTTGAAGATTCAACACATTCCCCCCACACCACACCCCAGTCCTGGGTGCAACAGGGATCATGAGTCTATAACATCTCAGTGTCTTCCCAGCTCATAAAGGATAAAGCCAACTCTTTGTCTTCACTAGAGCCCTCCTTATGTGGCTCTGGCCTGCCTTTCCTTCCACACTCCCTCTGAGTAAGTGTCCCCTCCACACACTGTACGCCTCACCTTCCTTCGACTCAGGTGTTCTTCCAGCCTCCGCCCTTTGCCTGTGCTGTGACATACACCTGAAATGCCTTTCCTTTCTTTGCCTGGTGAGAATCTACGCACTCATCAAGTTCTGGTGGGGAGATTTGCCTTTCCCATTAGGCCATCAGTTGAGGACATCTTTGGAGATGGGGTGGGTCACTTCTCTGCATCTCTGCTCAGTTAGCACCCAGCACAGGTGTGGCACTGAGAGGTGCGATGAGTGTTTGTGGGAATGAAGTGGGAAATCAGTGTGGGAATGAAGCAATTGGCACGAGTGCTTTCCACGGTGGAGCAGGGACTGGTGCAGCAGCCTCCCAACTCCCAGGCAGGCTGTGCTGGAGGGAATGCCTGCCCGGGAGAAGGTGTTTGGAGACAGAACGTAACACTCTGTTCCTCTGCTTTGCTTATCTCCAGATGCCAGGACGATGGAAAACGAAGTGATTCTTACTCTGGTAATCACAAATCATGTGGATGTTGCCGCGATGTTTCTTTAAAAGGATTATTAAAAGGGAGGGAACTTCAAATTGTGGCCATGTAGAGAGAGTATCACACATTTCAGGATAGATCAATTTAGAGAGGAGAAAAAGCACTCTTGTAATGGGTCTGGCTTGGGTCCACAGCTGTCTCTTGCCAGGTTCTAGAAATGCTGTGGGGAGGAAGTGGGCAGCTGCAGTTGCAGCAGCAGACAAGTGATGTGCATTGGCTGTGCTGGCAACATGGCTGAGGGAGCCCAGCCAGGAAGTACCGCAGAGATGGTCACTCCCCAGGACACCTGCCCCCATGCCTTACAAACCTGGGTTCAAGTCCCAGCAGCCTCGCCTGCAAACACCATGGCCTTCTCTGTTCAGAGTCTCTCTGTTTCCTGTTTAATCAACTTTGTGTTAATAAAAACAAACCATAAGGATAGGTGAGGAGGATTCAGTGAGACTGTAAGCTCCATGAGGACAGGTACTTAAGATCATGTTTTTCTTGGCCCCCAATGAAGAGTTGTTGGAAGTGTGAATAAACAAACCACATTAGACTAAACCCACAACAAACAACACTGATGTTAATTTCCCCTTTCAGGGCAGGAAAAGTTGAATCCACTGTTCATGACATATATACCCTGGATGTGCTCAAGGCTATAGAGAATACAAAAGTGAAAATGATGTGAGCCTCCCTCCAGGCTTTAGGATGATCTGAACACAC